CGCTCCGCCAGTATTCACAGAGCGGAATACTACTCCTTCAGCAGTATCTTACTGAAGGAGAGACTTGGAAGTCAGTCAATCTGTGTATGTTTCTCATCTCCCTCCTATTTTAACACCTTTTGAAAGTAGCATCCCTTGTTGTCATCCGTCTCCTGTGCTTTTTACTATTGACAAATCTCAGTTCAGCCCAGTTTTATTGACCCCGATAAAGGAGTGGAATAAAGGCTGCGAAAAGCTGCCTTCACTCTGATGCATCAAGAATCCACGTTCAACAGCGATTTCTCTGAAAAATGGTGGCAATAATGCCAGTTCTGGAAAACTCCCAAACGCCCAGACAAACGTAGCATAAACTCACGTTCAGACATCTATCCTTCTGGCAGGTACCTGAAATATTTGGCTTCCCTGGAGAACCAGCATGCTCCAAGACTAACTACCACGTGGCTGAATAATACAGTACAGAGCTGTCTGTAGGATCTTTGCTAGAGCCAGTGGTATATACGTAACAGCCGAGAGGGGAACTGCCATGCTACCAAATACATTTGTCATTTCAGTGGAAAAATTACATGCTAATGACTAGAACAGAACAAATATTACAGTGCCCGCATGCAGTACGCGAGAGTTATTAACACAAAATCAGAAAACACGACACGCATAAAGCGCTTAAGTAGAATACAAAAAAAGTCACATCACCTCGTATCTTTAAGGAAAGCACTCTGCACCCCAAGATCCCACCTCTTCTGTTGCCATTCCTACCAGTTTAAATATCCTCATCATGGTCCTGAGCAGGCTTGCTCTATCGATCTGATGTGACGTGGCTTCACGCTAACCGTTGTGAGAAACCCAGAGGTATGCAAGAGGTTTATACTGTGCCTTATCACAGTGGGACTCTCTGTCAGGATCTCTAAAGGCCAGTGTGTCGCCATTTATTAATGATAATATGAAAATGAATACATGTGCCATAGTTACACATCAGCAGGAGAGAAAGGAGCAGTTGTTCGGGTCCTGCCTTTGCCTTCCGTGTTCCTTCGGTGCAGTGCCAGTGACAGCCATGTTATGCACATCAAAAACAGCTGGATGAAGACAATTTTGTGCGTGTCTTAATTCAAAAGCAAGTGTCTCCTCCTACCAATATCAGCCAGGATGGAGCTTTGCAAAATCTATTTCCTGGCACATCATTCTGCTAACATAAAGCACTACTATGCTCATGGACTTTTAATTAACATTTTCCTTCGCTGTTTAGTATTACATTTGCCAGCTCTGTAAGTTTACCTAGGGCAAACTCATCCAAAGGCTGAGCTCAGGATGTATCAGCACCCCTCCCAGCCTGGGTCCGTCTTTGCTCACAGGCTGTAGCTCCACGAGGCCTCTCTTTGCATATCTTTCTTATTCTACCTTACAGCCTCCTTCAGCTGGAAGATGCTGTGCTCTTCGTAATTATAGTCTAGCATATTTTGGATGTTTCTAATCCTTTCTCTGCATTTATCCTCATTAAGTAATTAACTGTCACCTTTTGTCTGCACTGCACACCCCTACACAATGTTAATTGATAAATTATTTTCGTTTTGCATTCAGTAAAGATGGCAGCAATGTATCAAATCCAAATGCAAAGGGTTTTCTCCTTCCTTTATCTCTAAGTTGATGTTGTTTAATTTTCAGGGTAGATGTTGCCAGTGACAAGATGTCATCTCCATTCAGCATATATAACTTTTTATCATAGATAACAAAACTGGCTTCTCCTATCTCATCATTTGCAAGCAAATGCAGTGAAAATTAGATTTAAAGGATCATCAAATTCAGCTCAAAGCAACAGTCAAATCTAGAAGTGAAATAAGGCATTACAACAGCAAATGTTCCATCAAAAGCAGCACTTGTCCATTCTAGGCCTCTCCTGCCAGGGGGCAAGCGTTCTAGCTCATTCTATAAATTAACTATAAATGTAACAACTATAAATTAAATACAGAAGTAAACATCTCCTTGCAACACCCTTACCTCTTACCCAGTCTAAAAACTTTGACACTACTGTCTGTGCCCTGCAACTCAAATCCATTCTGTTTTACATTGAACTGGTGAAATGATACTTAAAGGCATGACTTTTTTGAAGCAATGACTGATGGATTCAAGGGTTTTATATGGGACATTCCTATCTGATTTTCTTACAAATGCCCCTCACGACATGCTCCTGCTGCGCAGCAGTTAGCCACGAGGGCCACCCACACCACCTCAGCAACTATTACAGATTAACAGAGAACAAGGGAAGAGTTTTCTGTCTTCCACAGTCTGCATCATCACCATCATTATTATGTTAAAAGAGCAGTCGTTTTCAAGCAAAATGTGACTCAGCTAAGTGGCAGCTTTTCTCCAGAGAGGGAGGAAGGGTTTCACCTCACATTTATGCCCTCCTGTTCTCTTGCCTCCTCTTCATCTCATTCTGTTCTTCCTCCATCCCCTCTCCCTTCCACTGTCACCCATGCTGCCCTTCCATCCTCCTTCCAACTCTGCTCCTCCTGTCCGGCCCCAGCAGCCTTGTCCTTTTCTTTCTCCTCCGTTAATCTTAACCCCTCTGAGTTTTTCTCCTTCCCTCTTTTCTTGTTATTCTGTACAGGAGGCAACCAGATGACCAAAGGTCAGACTCTGCTCCCATCCGCAGCTAAGTCTAAAGCAGCTTCAATGGAAGTGGTATTATTCACCCAGAAATCTTAACACAGGTCTAATTCTTCCGCTGAAAGGGGCATCTGAGCTGTGGGGGACCTGCTCCCCTCTCATTTCTTTAGGTCGAATGCTCTACGCCTTTGTGGAGCCACCACTTCACAGAGTATTAATTTATTTCATAGCACAGCAATTACAGGTGGTTTAATGAATGAAGAACAAGGTTGTATCAAACAATCAGGAGAACGCAAGTCATTTCTTTCTGCTCTCAATTCTCCCGAGGTTAGAGCCCTCTGCTGAAAGGGAACACTAATGCCATGAGCTCCACCGTGGCTCCCATCACCATCATTACCTCCAAGGAAGGCAGGCCAATTTCACAGCTTCAGCATGGGCTGTGGGGGAATGGGTTCAGCTCTTTGTTCCACACAGATTGTCCACGTGACACTGGAAACGTATTTCAGTTCCCTGCCTTGGCTTCCTGCCCCCAGAAAATGGGGCACCTTACCCCAGAGATGGGGGCGAGAGGAGCTATACCAAGGAACATAGGGAGGTCAGGTGCTATGGGAAGGAGCAGGACACTAACGCCTCAGTGGCTTGTTTCCACTGTAGAAATACAGAGGGGCCCCACAGAGCCATCAGCGGCTTGCCAAAACAAGGTTTTAAACACAGAAGTGCTCAAACCCTAACTGAAAACCCTACACTCCTACAGGGGAGCGACTGCGAAAGATTTCTGGTCCCCAAGCACAAGCCGCCCCGGCATACACCATTGCCTTGGAGAGAACATACCACAGCATATCCATCCTCACATCCTTCCTGTCTGGTGAGCAAATGGAAGACGACAAAGTTCCTGCAGGTTCAGGCAGAAACACCCTGTCGTGGTGTTTTCTTCATGTTCTGTTTACTAGTACCAGCGGTGGACTATAAATATAAACTTGTGATGCTGCAAAGCACTGCACTAGATGAGAGCAGCCATATTAATCGCCTTCTGTTTTATAAGCAGGACACTCAAAAATGTGTCATGGAGTCTGTGAAGCATGCACAGGCCAGCTGATACCCTGACCCACAAGCCAACCCTGAGATTTAACCACCTCAAGGGGCTTGGCCAGCCAGGCTAAACTTCCTCCATTTATTATTTCACCCAACAAAATAAAGCTGTAAATCTTAGCTTACTTTCCCTCACAGTCACATGTAAAATCATGACACTTGTATGCTTCCTAAGACCGCTCTGACTGGTAATTAATTACATCTATTTTTACCATCACTGATAATTTCCAGGAGGGGTTGGTTTGGGGTCTCCCCGTTACTTCATGCATTTCACACAGCACCTCCCGCTTAAGAACCGTTCCCTCTGAGAGACAGAACACCATCCTTGCTGGCAGTCAGGGGAAGAAGTGACCCAAGTCCTTCCAGGAATTAAACAAGCCAGGAAGAGATTGTAATTTTGGCCTTTAAAAACAATCAATTGAAAACTGATTTTGTTCCCCGAAGGGGACATTTTTGGGAAGCACTTTGCAGAGTGAACCAGCCAGGTCTGCCTGAGGAACGGGCCCATCCGGTCACAGCCTTCACGTGAGAGGAACCACCAGGACCGTCCCTGACTGAGGGGAGGAATGGGGCTGAAATTGTGCTTTCACACACTTGTGTGAAACTGTGAATTTGTGAAATTGTGCCCGTGAGGAGTTCTGAGTGCCAGGCCACCCCCAACTGCTCCACACCACCTGTGGAAGAGACTCCGGGAACAGGCGAGCTGGAGCCCTGAGGGAACGACCACAGCTCCACAGTTCTGAGCTCTCCTTGGAGGAACAGCAACTCAAATCGAAGGCAGCATCCCTCTCAAAATCCAGCTGGATTTCATGTAGCTGATCACAACCCTTTGAGCCCAGAGTTTCAGCCAGTTTTCAGTCCACCTCCCTCTCCACTGATCTAGACTGCACTTCATCAGTTTGTCTGTGAGAATACTATGGGAGGCTGCATTGAATGTGTTACTAAAGTAGAAGTAACACCCACGGCTCTCCCTTCACCACCAAGCCTGTCATCTCATGGCAGAAGGCTGTCAGTATGGTTCAGCATGAATTCCCCTTCATAAATCCATGCTGACTATTCCCGATCACGTTCTTATCCTTCATTTGTGTGGAAATGGTTTCCAGGAGGATTTGATCCACTAGCTTCCCAGGGACCGAGGTGAGGCTGACAGGCCCGTAGTTCCCCAGATCCTCCTTCTTAAAGACAGAAGAGACATTTGCTTTTTTTTTGTTTTGTGGGGTCCTTTTTTTGTTGTTTTGGGGGGGGAGGTGGTTTTTGGTTTGTTTTGGGTTTTTTGTTTGTTTGGGTTTTTTTTTTTTTACAGTCATCAGAATACCCCCAGCCACCATAACCTTTCAAAGATAATCAAGGGTGGCCTTGCAGTAACATCAGCCAGCTCCCTCAGCACTTGTGGGTGCAGCCCATCCATTCCCATGGCATCACAAAAAAAGAGAAACCCTTCCCTTAATTCTGTAAATACACTAACTCAAAACACACTCCTTTCTGCAAATGCATTTCAAAGAATGCAACTGAAATGGTTTCCTGCATGTTTAGAAGACTCTCTTGCTGTAATCATACCTAGCACATTTTAAACAAAGCCATTCTGCATCCCCTCTCACTGCAAAAGCAACAAGCAAGAAAAGCCTTGCTCCCATTCCTGGAATGTAAGTGCATAAAAAAAAAACCCAAACCAAAAGTGTCAGGCATACTGCCTTCTTCCTTCTGCAAACATATTTTCAAAAGTACACCACCTCATCTCTGTTTTTACTGCAAACGCAATGCAAAATCCAAAGGAAAGGATTCCCCAGCTTAACTATAAAGTTGTTTTTAAAAGGCAAGTCGCACAATGTGCGCGCGTTTTGCTGGCTTTTCGAAGGCAAGAAAGCAACTGACTGAACACCTCCTCCTCCTTTGAAACATGTTACTAGAGTAAATGGAACAGAAGGCTTTGGAAGGACTTTACCATGTTCAGCAACTGAAACAGAAAGAAAACAGTGGCAGAAAGGAAACGCGGCAACCAAGAACCAACAGAAAGCAAACAGAGATGTCGCCACCCATTCGCACTGCTGATACTTTACTTTTATCCCCTCCTCCTGGGAAGATGGAGCGAAGCCGGGCTTTCTTGTTCTTCTCCTCAGGGGCCATGGGGAGCGGTTTGGAACTGTGGTTTAGTGCTGAAGAATCGCGATTGTTGCTGTTCATTCTCAACGGTGGGGCTGGAGGTTTCTCTTCAATATCCAGACTATCGGACATCTTCAGCAGCCCTCACAACCTCCTGCAAAAGCAGAACAGAAAGCACGCCTGTCAGGTAAGGATGCCGAAGCTGGTGTCCTGAGGAGGAAAGAGGGCAAGAAAAGCCTTCTGGTGGAAGAAGGAAGCCTCTCTATTAGAAGTTTGCTCTGAATAAGGTTACTGCTGGTTGCTGTAAATAAATGCAGTGTCATTCCTAAAAATCATTGTATTACCATTAAAATAAAGCTTTTTTAAATCCCTGTTAAAGGCTTTTAAATTTTTTATTTACAATGTTTGTCCTGCAGTTGTTTACAATCCAAATTTTCCCCTAAAACCAGACTTTCAAAGCAAAATTTAAACAATTTACTGAAACTACCTGGTATCGTAGTGAGCCATTTTTATGATGCAAGAAACGAGGTGCATGTTGGGGGGACATGGATAGCAAGCAGCAAGATCTCTGTTCCCTGCCTGCTCTGTGTTTGGAGAGGGTTTAGTCCTGGGAACGTGGGCCTTCAAAAGGAATGATCTTTCCAAAGGGAATTCATTCAGAAGTACCAATTAAAAACGTTCTTGCACATAAAAATGAGCAATATGTTTGCTTTAAAATCAGTCAAAAGCTAAGCAGGAAAACGATCATATCCTGAAAACAATTCAAGTCTTCCTCTTTCTGTCCTGCTGCCACATGGGTCTGTTACCATAGGGTTGTTTGTGGCACAGCTTTGAATAACACCACCATGAAGTCCCAAGTATGGCACAGCAGCAAGGAGTAGACATGTACAGTCTTTTGTTGACCGCTAAGAACAGGGATACTGGTCTAAGGAAAAAAAAAATACCCAGAAATTGTTACAAAATTTTTGTAAATTGGGAAAACAGAGGGCAGGTAAGACTTTCCAAATTCCTAACCTTTCTAGTGTATCTTAAATATTAAAATTCAAGTCTGGATTAAGCAGCTGGTTTAACAAACAAGCAAGGCTTGGTAAAATGAACTGTTTTAAGACCTGCAAACAGAGTATGATTTCAGACAGATCAGATGTGATGTGGGCTATCCTGTATGTTTTTAAAGGTTACAATTCTACAGGCGCCTTGCTTTCCAACCCAAAACTGCTGTGGCTCCTTTCATAGAAGGCACGTGCAGACCACTGTGCATGTGTTACAGATCTCTCCTTGGGCTGATTCACAGATAACACAAGCTATTGCAGTCACCAGCTACTCTCTGAAATTTAAAACGAAGCAACTTCTGTTTTTCAGCTGTGGAAGTCGTAGGTTTTTCTCAGAAGTATCAGCCAAACATGGTGACTGTCACTTACACAAAGCAGTCCTGAAGTGGTAACAGCATTGCTGCTCTCCCTTTGGTCAGGTAAAGCTGCCATGGTTGAGGGGTTTGGGGTTTCATTGGGTTTGGGGTTTTTGTTTGTTTTGTTTGGGGTTTTTTTGTTTTGGTTTGGTTTCTTTTAAGAACCAAGGTTAACATTTTCAACAACTGCATTTATTTTGATATACATGGAATTTTGCCGGGATTTCCAGCTGATACATTAACAGGATAATCAAATCCACATTGCCTTAACTGACCATACCTTCCATGTAAAAACTAATGACCAACTGCAACATTTAGAGATGTTCGCTCTAGACTGTTTTTCATGACATGGGCATTTTAGCCTTTGTTACCATTTTCAAATCACCACACATAAAACGATTGCTTCTTTTTTTATTACTTGACTTAAATTTTTTATTTCATCTAAATGAGACCCCAAAATGCCAGGTCCGAGATTCAAAGCATCTGCCCAGCGACAAGTACAATAAATGAAATAGACCATCACATCTCTGTTTTGTACCAGTCCTTGGGTCCACAAAGTGGGGTTCCCTGAATATTTGGATCCCTGAGGGATCCCAGGGACCCCTCCCAGGGTCACACAGTTGAAAACCCCAGCCCTCTCCCTAGTACATACAGGATGAAGCAGGGATCCTGGAGATGTTGATTGATAAACATGCATTTAAAGATGTTAATGACGCCATTTGCTCACCTCCATCAGGGGAGCCATTTGTATGAGCACCCTTCCCAGCTGACTTCATCAACTGGTTTGTGTTAAATAGCCTGAGCTATTCTGGCATATTTTGCCTGAGGCAAATTAGGGAGAGCTCAAACAATTGCTCTGCTGGTAGATCAGTATGGCGTTCGCCAGCCAAAGAGGGTGCCAATTCATAGGCTCAAGCCCTATGTGAACTGCTAGCCATTCC